AGGTTTATGGACCGAGCCGAACGCGAGGTCCATAAACTTGCAAAAAGAAGAAACAAGACCAATATTTTCCAATATGGACCGAACAAGCTAGTTCAATAAGGTATTTATTATAATGGCTCTTTTTAATCTGCTGATTAATCTGCCATCCTCTCTCGGTAAACGCGCGCGCGAAAGATAAGAATTAATTTACGTTCGTTAAATGAAATTTTCCTCCAAACATGAAGGTAAAATGATTTCTACTTTAGAAAAACTGTTTATTTTGTGCGACGAAATTGTAATTTTCCGAAATCAGTTCATGACAGGCCGGGAGCCATAATCGGGGACGGATTCCCCGATTATGGCTCCTGTTCATAAGCGGTCCATCTTAGCGGTCCGTGTTGCAAAATTTGAACCGCTGAGGAAACCAATCAGAATTCTCCTTTTCACCCCGGAAGGGTTCAGCCATTTAATAAAAAAACTTATCTTTCACGTTGTTCCAACTGTTACAATATATGTACTGACGAAGTGTGAATAGTTTCATGCGCGAGTTAATATTTAATATATTGGAATAAAACTTAGGTGTTTCAAGTTCCCCTTACACATACCTACAGTACGCTTTTACCGACCCTGAAAAAGGTCCTGGGGAAATCTTTCTAGAGGCCCACTGGAGAAATCTCCAAATGGCTAATTTCAAACCCTAAAAAGGCCCTCGCACCTCCTCGCCACTAATATACCTTTCAGCCGTGAAATTTTGAAAGCCTCTTTAAAATCCTACATGACAGTTTATCCTACTCTTTTCCATGCTTCAACTCTTGAAAACCCTACCCTTTCATACACATCCAGCCTAAAAAAAAAGGACCCTTTCTGGGAACCTTCCTGTTTTGACCTTTAGGGAGCTTAAGCAACGACGACGACGACGCCGAGGACGAGGACGACGCCAAGTCAAAAATGAATTTATGTTTTACCAGTGAAATTCGCAATTGTCTAGATCTGTTTAGTAGGCCAATGGCTCTAAAAACGTGCTCAGGCGGCTAAATATGCAGTTACAGCGTTCAATTCAAAATGGAAATACGAAACATTAGCCGTCGTCGTTCGTGTTCCTCAGACCACGCCGAACTTGGTCATTTCACGTTGTTGTTTTGCAGTGAACGGCAAAGAAATGTACAAAGATTTATAACGCACGTGCACAGCCACTGTTCTGCTCATTAAGACTTTTGTTTGGTGGCGTTCTCGTTGCCGTCGTCGTCGTGATCTGCTTAAGGTCCCTTATGCTATTAGGATTACTCCCGAAGTACCCCTCACCCGCAGTTCTTGCTTGGCTCAATGCAATGAGATCAGTTATTCGTTTCTACTTTATATATTTACTGTGAACAACATCTTAAGTCAGATGGTGCAGAAGACGTCTCATCTTTATTAGAAGTAAATCAGACCAAGCTACAGCCAAAAACTCAATCTTCAAACAAACATTTAACGGATACTCGATATAACAACTTTTAAGTGTTAAAACAGTGAACAGGGGTTTTCAAGAACAGATACAGTGGCTAGAAGGGCAATTACCCAGTGCACAGTTGTTCTGACACCATGTATTCATATGAGATTGCCCGGTCCAGCTTCCTGTGGCTTTGCACCCTCCAGTAGGAGGTTTTGGTGTTGGCGCCGAGGTAGCTGGTTCTTGTGTCGTGCCTACCACTGTCATCATAGGTGTATCTGGGTCGGGCTCCTCCGTCGAGGGAGCCGGACCTCCTGCTGGTACGATCCTGATATCTGCGCAGTTCACAAAGGTCTCTTGTCTCTTCGCCAGTCCTTCTCCGCAAACGCCCTCGTCATTACAACCCCAGTTGTTGCCCACTGTCCACCACCATTGCACCACGCAGTGATCACATGTCAGGCCTTCTGGTAGCATGAGCTTAATCTTGAACACTCCATCCCTGGAAGAGTGAAGCGGCCATGTGTTGGAACCATCAGGCTGCAACAGAATGTGCTTCAGTTGTTCTTGAGTGATGGGACGCTTCTCCACCTTGCCCACGCTAAAGCGAAAGAACCCTTGATGATTTGAAGTGATCTTAACGCTGACCTCGATCTGTTGTCCTTCTTTGTATGTCTTGGTTACGAAACGGTCCTTCGCGTACCTGCCAGGGTAGACATACCTCGGGTTTTTAAGATGATACGCATCTCCACAAACGCCACATTTGCCTTTGTTCTTACTCCACTGGACGCTAAAGCCTCCGCAATTCAACTCGTTATCTGTGTACTGCGCTGGACGATTGGGAAAAAATCTCCATGCGGAGTTTCTGCTGGCGGGATCTATCAGCATGCCATGACCGAGTA